TTTTTAATGTGCCTAGAAATTATCACAAAATTTGACTCTATCATGTCTGTATATACAGGGTGCAGCAGCATTCATAGCGTTATTTGACTAGCGTAGTACAATGACGTACTGCATGAATGCGCCCCAGCTTGTGCCGCATTTGTGTACTAATAAGCTGCCATTTCGAGTGTGACAGTGATATATGGATTGGTGGAGTGCATAGCATTGTGCCTTTGCTGTTGAAAGTTATTTCAAGAATAACTACTCTCTTTTTGCTACCCAGCGTCTATTTCGACAACATTTCAACTTGGGACGTCATGGGAAAGTTCCATATGGACGGACCATTGCGACAGACATTTCCAGGTAGAGTAATTTCCAGTTTTGGTGACATTTCCTGGCCTCCTCGATCACCTGATCTTTCATGTGTGGACTTTTTCTTTTGGAGCCACCTGAAGCAAGAAGTTTTCCGAACACGTTGTGCCACCCTTCCTGAGTTGAAGGATCGCATCAGAACTGTCATCGGGAATGTCCCAGGGAATACGTTACGCCGAGTTATGGCAAGCTCCCAACGCCGCCTAGATGAATGTGTTGCGCAGAGGGGGCAATATTTGACAGACATCATATTCAAAAAGTAATCCATGCAATGGACAATAACTTACACATTAGTAAATGGCATACTTTTAACTATTAATTGACATAAGGAGATAATATAATACAGTTTATGCCTTATGATGTGTTTTAATATCCTACTATGAACGCTGCCGCATCCTGTATTAATAAAATTTAAACTAAAAAAAATATGCTTCATTACCTTGAAGATAAAATTCAAAATGAAACAATTAGCTTATTAGGGATTAATATAAAGCAAATTATTTTAAGTAAGGTCAAACAGGCTAATTATTTTTCGATTTTACTTGATTGCACCTTTGTTGCCAGCCATCAAGGGCAGTTATTAATTTGTATTAGGTGTCTTAATTTAGAAAATGCAGACGTTATTGAAGAAAGGTTTTTATTATTTTGTGTTTCAACAGATACGACAAAACGAACAACATTAGAGGGAAATGGTTTAGATATTAGTAATTTACGCGCCAAGAATATGACAATGGTTCAACCATGAGAGGTAAACAGTTTTCGAGTACTTATGCTCAGATTCGTTGCTTTTCTGAATTAAAAAGTTTACCCAAGTTTAGCATCATATGTAACTGCACTTAACTTTTTTTATGTAGAAAAACAATAACATGGGTCGAACTCCTGTCTTGGTTATAACTTTCATTCAAATAAGACAGTATGCTAGCAGGAAGGGGCTTTCAGACCTGGCAAGCTCGCTGCCTTAACACAGTTTAAACGCCCCAACCCCTAGAGGCCTATCGGTCGAGCCGACGAGCTAAGACTAAGCTGAGTCGACAGGAACACTTAGCAACTCACATTCCACGTTCCCGTTCTAAAGGGATGGTATCAACATCTCCTATCAAAAGTGGGCCCCCAACACCGGACAGCAGAACGAAGTCACTTAAACACTGTCAGATAGATCGGGCCACCAATCCGGCCTGCTAACACTACGTCATGGTATGCAGATGTCGGCTTTAAGCGCTACCAGGAAAAACCATGCATGGATGTAAAGTTTCCACTGCTAAAAGTCCACAAGTCAATATTGTACGCTGACCTGGGATAAGTTTTTCTATCACATCAACTCCAAGCAGTACATAAAACAGCTTGTGATTTTTTACCCATATCTCTGACAATACTATCTTCATTTCTTGAAGCTCTTTGATTCATGGATCTGAACTAACACGTGTAATATTGTCACATATAGCGTCCATGTTACAAGTTACATTATTTTTGCGGATTCCTTAATCTGATTCTATAACATGTGTGTTCACATTTTTCAGAATCAATTATTCCAAATAAAGAGTGTATAAGAATTTCTTTTCTCACTGGGCCTACATCCAATTTCTTCTGCTAGATTTTTCAATATACATGTTTTTCGGGACACTGAATTTAGGACTGCTCTAATAAGTATTTCCTTATCTGACACTGGTTTTATTTTTATAGTTTAAAAAAATACCTTTGGGCCATAAGTGATGTTAGACATCTAATTTCTTAACTTGCACATTTTTCATCACTTTTATCCGATTTCCTGTTTCAAGCATCTAAAGTACCACACATAAATGGCACATGCTTTTTACCACATACTACACATTTCAGAAAAACTTTGCACTTACAAACTGGATATCCAGCTGTCAGGCAAGTGAAGCAGCATTGTTTATTTCTTAAAATATTCTGCTTCTCAGCTAAACTCATCCTTTGAGCAGAAAAACAGTCTGAGCTTGCATGTTTCCCTGAACAAAAAATACATGCTTTCTTCACATCCTTTGAAGTTGTAGAGACTAAATTGGCAGCTGTACGTACTCTTCCTGTTGTCAAATGCCCTCCTCTTTTCTTAAGAGCTTGGTGATTTTTACTTGAACATGAACCAAAACCAGATACGGCTAAATTTATTTGTTCTTTCTCTTCAGTTTTAGCCTTAAGGAAGGACATCAAGTTAGTCAACATTTCTTAGCATCAGTTGAGGTTGGAGAAGCACTACTTCTGCTCCATGCTTTTAGGAACTCTTCTTGAAAACAAGATTCAGCCATAGGATAAAGTATCGAAGCACATTTATCATAGTCACTCCCAGTGTGTCTAGTACTCTTTAAGATATGTTTCGAGTTTATCATACAGAGATGTCTGAAATTTTTTCATGTTTTTGAACTGAAATGATCAATTTTAAAAACTCTCTAACATAAAACTCTACTAAAAGTGCATCTCTTATAAAATGGAGTTTCGTGCTTTGGTGCAGCTGGTGGGTAGCTTTCTATAACTTCTTGTGCTCTTGACCTACATTACAGTAGCTTGAATAAGGTACTGAAATTTAATTTCAGGTACAATTTCTTTATCATTGTGAATCTGTTGAAAGTGACTCCAAAAGGGTAGCCAGTCCTTAATGTCACGACTAAACTGTATAATGTCTAATTTCGGTAAATTAAATTTCTTTATAGATCTGGTGAGAGTAACAGAGGTTTGAGACTTACCTACTGGTGGCAGTTTCACATGAAATTCGTGCCAAGTCCAGTTTGTGTTGTCTTATAATTTCTTGTTCTTCATATTCTATTTGTTTTAGCTTTTCTTCATGTTCTATTTGTTTTTGTCCGTCTTCTTTTTGTCTTCATTCACAAACAGTAGTTACGAAAAAGTCTGTAAAGAACTGTGTATCTTCCAAATATTGCTTACGCTGCAAAATAATTTCAGCTCCTAGGATAGGCTGAATCAGTTGATACGTTGTTTACTTGTCTTAGGTTTGGAGATGTCTTTTTTATGACATAGTATTGGTACGCCTCTTCTTAAAAACAAGTTATAAGTATGCTACAGCTTCATACTTAAAGAAAACTTATATTTTAACCGAGTTGAAATGTTAGGTTTATGGTCTGCACGGGAATTTTTTTTTTTAAATATAAATCTACTTTTGTGTATTGTGTGGTATTCTTAGCATTTATTGAAGATGAGTTATCTCTCAAAAATGTATTATTAAGATACCAAACAACTGAAAACGATCATTACAAAACGATTGGAAATATTGAATGCATGATTTAAAAATTATAACCGTAAATGGTCAAAATACAGAAAAGATTTCTTTTGCTTAAAGAACGTTTTGATTATCGATGAGCGAGTCTGATTCGGTGCTTACTGCAGAATGGATGAGTATCTGAATCTGGATTTTTTCTATCAGTTAAGAGTGAAGAGGTACAAACAGCATGATTGAGTGGTGTATGGAGAAACGTTTGATTACAAGATCGTATAAATGCCCAATTTGTGAAACTGACAGGAAACTAGTACAGCGAAAGAACCATATAGATGGTTTTGAGTGGATATGTAGAGTTACTGGAGGCGAATATAAGCATCGAACTTCAAGGTCTGTTCGAAAGCACTCCTGGTTTGCAAAGAGTAAATTGAGCATGTGTGGTGTTTTGCGAGTTACCTATATGCGGTTGAGTAAGTGCAGGAATGATTTTATACCCATCAGAATTACGTATTGCTAAAAATACGGTGGAAAAGTTTTTGCAGTGGAGTGTGTATGGAGTTATGCTTGAAGGAGAATGTGACATTGGGTGGGGAAGGCGTGATTGTGGAAAATGAGGAAAGTAAATTTTGCAAGCAAAAATATCATAGGGTGAAAGAATCGAAGGGAGATGTATTTTTGGTTTGCTTGAGAGAGGGACAGATAAATGCGTGTTTAGAGTGGTTGAAAGCAAAGGTGCCCGATCATTGTTGGAAATCATTAAACAGAATATTCTGCCAGGATCAAGTGCTATTGCTGGAAAGCCTATGACTGTCACGAGCCCAAAGGATATACGCACTTGAAAGTCAATCATAGCTTGTGTCTGGAGACAGGTGCGCATACCTATCCCATAACTTTAGGAATGTACTATATTACAATAATTCTGTTCTTAGAGAATCCCCTGAAAATGAGTCAATTGCAAAGAATGGAAGCAAAAGATTTCAATAAATTGTAACAAAATGTTTTGCAGCACATCCAAAATGCATTTTTCTATTTTATAAAGAAATCTGAGAAAATACTATCACTGACATCAGCAATGATTATTTGAATCTGGAAACTTATTGTTATTTAGAGACATTCTGAGTTTTACATTGTATTATGAAAATTAACCTGATTACAGATAATCCAAAACAGTTACGTTTTACCTGGTTTAAATAAATAAGGTTCTATAGCAAATGCTTAAAATTTAAATCAAACTTTTTCCTATTTAGAAAGAAATTCTATTTTTAGACTTCTGGTGAACTAAACTGGGTATGTATGTGTCAGTTATCTTTTCTGAGATTAATATAACAGAATGATGATTACATACAATATGCACGATTTAATATACGCAATTACACACATTTTAAAAACAATACAATTCAACACGAGCATAATTTTAATATCAGATGATACAAAGAAGTAAAGAAACAAAGCAGACTTAAAATTACAGAAATTCACAATTTATTTATATGCAGCATTGATAATTTTACATATATACAAAGTATAAAACAGTGACAATCAGCATTAGAACGTACAATTATATTTTAAAGATAAATGTTAAAATAATACGAGAAATTAAGAAAAAAATTTTTTTCTTAATGGTTTCCAGCAAAAAACAAATACTTGGCAGAAACAACAAAAGCACTTGCACATATGAATAAAATTTACAAACGCATTAAAAACTTTTCAATGTTTTACTTCTAAAAAATTCATGAAAGGGAGTTTCAATTTCTATTAAGCTGTATCCAATAGATTCATAAATATGGAAATACTGCATTATCCTATGAAGTAATTTTGAAATTCTCATTTACAGATAATTTAAATGCAAAATTAAAACTAGTAAATTGCATGGTTAGAAATGCCTTACACTCAGTTAGTATTCAATTTAAATTTAAGTCCAACTAAAAAAAAAAAAGACAGTAACTCATTTATTGAACGCTTTCCAATCAGATGCAGCACATAATACCAAAATAAAAAATTAGCTGAACTTTTCGGGAAGTTTTCAACAAATCTCTCATGTACAAGTTGTGAAAAGATGAATATTTTTTAAACATGCCTTTATTTTTATGATGAGTTATCACTCAGTCTGACTGACCAAAAATTTAATAATACATATGAGTTACAAAAACAAATAAAATGAAAGTATACAATATGAAGTTTGAAAAGTTCACAAATATGAATTAGAGGCAAATTACATCCATCTCCCTTTAAGTTTCCTCACAATCTTCTTTCTACTTTTAAAATCAGGGCTTTGCAAAAAAGTCGTATGATTACATGGTAAATAAGCAAAAGAAAACACTTAACAACAACTGAATACTAATACAGAAAACTGAAATTGTTTTTTAAAATTACCTACTGGGGGGGGGAAGGAAAAAAAGAGAGAAAAGAAATGCACAAGAGCCAAAAGTTGAGTATGCAATGCAGAATCAAAACATTTAACAACATGATTCAATTACAAATCTAGTGCAAACTTGGTTAACAGTATAAAATACAGGATATTGGCATTGCATGACATACCTGTAAGTTTTTTTAAAGAGGGTGATTTTATAAATCCATGAAAAAATTACTGTGAATCCACAAAAACAAACACTTTCCCACTTGAATTACCTCCAGCTAACACTGATTTACTAGGATGAAATCTGTTAACAGATGTAATAGAAGACAAATCTTCATCCATAAAATTATAAATATTTTTCATGTTATCATTGAATATTTGTATTCTCCGTGGTTGTTCCATACTTCCAACCACAAAAACATCATCAGTTTCTGGAAGCCAAGTTGCACGGAATATGGACAACCATCGCCCAGTGAAATTATTATGCCTGAAAAAAAAAAAGGGACTAAACTAATACAGGCTTAAGAAAACAGTAACATAATTGAATATTACACAATATATTTAAAATACACATTGACTCCGTACGTGATCCAAATCTAGCTTCTTCCTTATAAATTTTACTCAGTAACAACAAACAATTAATAAAGTAATTTCTTATAAATAAAACTTGTTTAAGTCCTGTATTTTCAGATTAATCAGAAATACACTCAAAATGAAAGAACAGCTCTTTTTAGGATAATTTGAAAAATCAAGATGTACACTCTCAAAATTAACATTTAACATAGCTATGGAGATACTTTCATAAGCTTTATCCCATTTTATGTTAGCAAAACTGAACCCACTACCCCTTCAGTACTTGTGAGATTAAGCAATTATTTCCCAAATATTAACAATATCTGTCAGTTGTAAATTAGCAGTGTAAGCTTATTTGTTTGTGCCCACTGCAGTGCATAACTGATGTGAGTTGAGCTCGCTCATGACCATCAAAGCGTTAAGAATACGATATCTATATATCTACTATATATCTCTTCAAAATACTAAATATAATACTTGATACAAAACTAACAACATTTTAAAACTATTATTTTAGTGTTAAAAAGAAAGTATTAAAACACTAAAGTATAAGAAAATATGTTCTAGTAACAAACTACAATACAGTACTTATAATGACATATGGTGATGGTTTTATTTAATCATCAAATCAACAAAAGGACTCAAATAAAATTTTAAATTTAATCTCAATATCTTTTTAAATGGGCTCAAACATATAACCTTAAGAAATGTATCTGTAAAACTAAAATTTTTATCATTAACTATCAACAGAAACTTTCGAGAGCACCATTTCAGAGGAAGATGAAGCAGCAATTAAAATAGTCGCATAAAATACAGCATGTTTCAAAAAGAATATACGTATTTTGAATGCATAGATTTATTAAACTGTATGACATACGAATATGAAACGTCACACACAAATGTACAAACCTCTCAAGTTCAGATTACAGATGCTCAATATGCCCTCCATCAGCGACAAGAACGTCGATACTCAAATTCCTCCCATACTCAGGCAAGCATGTCCATCGTCACCGATGTTATTACAGTACGGATCTGGTTCTTCACCTCTTCCAGGTTTCTGTGGGAGTGGTGGTACATAAACATTGTCTTTAATGAAACCCCACAGGAAGAAGTAACAGAGTGTCAAATCTGGTGACTTTGGAGGCCAGGTGAGACATGCTAAGTCACCAGCTCCTTGACGACCAATCCAATGTTTTGGTAGAGTTTCATTCAGATAATCACATACTTGGGGTCACCAGAGTGTCCCGTCTTGTTGAAAAATGAAGTTAACTTCATGCAGCCTTGAAAACAACCAGTTTTGTAACATAGTGAGATACTGCTGACCGTTAACCGTGTTTCCATCAAAGAAGAATGGGCCATAAACAGATGATCAAGATATCGCACAAACACATTTATTTTGGGCGAATCTCGTACATGTTTAATGGCTGCATGTGGGTTCTGTAGGCCCCAAATTCGAACATTGTGTTTGCTTACATGATTACAAGCACAAAAAGTTGCTTCACTGAACACGATGCGTTGTGCGAAAGTGTTATCATTGTCAATAGCATCAATAATCTGGTTACAAAATGCCACATGTTTGCGTTTGTCATCAGGACCCACAGCCTGAACAAATGTAACTTGTACGGCTTCATAACCAAACAACGTCTCAAAACAATCCAAAATAGTTGTTGTAGGCAGTTGTAACTCCCGACTGGCACGATGAGTTGATTTTGAAGGACCAGGTTGGAAAACAGTTTGAATTCATGCAACATTTTCGTCAGGAGCATGAGGACAGCCAGAACTCTTTCCTTTACATACACATCCTGCATTTACAAACTGTCGATACCATCTGCGAATGTTCTACTCATTCAGAGGATCACTTTGGTACCTCAACTTGAAATGTCTTTGCACTGTAATCATGGAATTGCACTTCGCAAACTCGAAAGCACAAAATGATTTCTGCTGCGGAGCAGCCATTTTAAACACGTGACGGTTACCACGCAAAACAGAAGACAATTGATACCTAGCGGCTATTAATATAAATTAGATTATGTGTTTCGCCAATAGCCAAGCTGAGGCACAGTGATCGATAGTTTGGACAAAATAACACTTTGTAATATGTATATACTTTTTGAAACATGGTAAATTTAAGTGGTTATATTTAACGACATGATCAGTTACTCCTTCATATTAGGAATCTTACAGCCAAAATAGATATATCAGTTAACACTACTGGTAGAAAATATACTTCAGACTCTTCAAGATATGATGCTTGAATAGCAGTTTAATGAAGACAGCGCTGGGTTGTATACAAGACCAGAGTTCCACATCTAATAGGACTGAACTCTTGATATAACTTTTCATATGAACTTTGTTTCAGAGAATTATCCTTTTCAAAATTTTTAGGAAACTAGAACTAACACTTCAAATGCTTTATTTGCAACTAAAAGAGCTCTTTAAATCTCTTTCTCCCCCTTGTTTTTACACAAAACAACAACAGCAAAAAGACTTCAATCAAAATACCCATTTTGATACAAAAGAAGAGATATTTATACAAAGGGCCAACAAGAAGAATATGGTACTAGCTGTGTATATTAATAACATTTGAAAACACAATAAAATGACAAATTCACAAAAATAATTTTGTGTTTCAAGTTGAACTTTCAGCAGTTAGGTTGTCTTAACCTTTGCCAAATCTATTAAAATGATGAATACAAATTCTACATCTAGCTTAATAGGTTTAAACATTGGGGGGGGGAATACATAATACCTCAAATTAGAAGGCAACTCTTTGCATTTCTTAAAAATATTAATCATATTTTTTTTAGATTCAAGCCCATATTGATACCAATTAATATGCAGTCATGTTAAAAATTGAAGCTGCCGCCTTTTTACCTTAACAGATGTATATTTCTAACTATTTTTCTTAAGGGAAAAAGTATCTTCAACTCTTAGGCAAAAAAGATTAAAAGAAATCTAAAACCTGATAAAGAACAAATAAAATCATTCCAAAGATGACTAAAATGTATTATCTGCCATAACATGTAATAACCTCACCATGAGTTTTTCAACACTTCCAATACTTACAATATTATTTTGATAGTTATTAGCAGTTTTTTTTTCCAAAATTCTCTAAAAAAACTAATTTTCTCTAAAATTGAATAATATTCTCCCCGTCTAAATAACTGATGATCCTACCTCTATTTTGACTTCAGCATGTTAACAGGATTGTTAAAAAATGTGTCTTCATTATTACTATATCACTCATTATGCTTATGGGTAATGTAAAATTAAGGTACATGTAAAAATAATTATGCATGCATTAGCAATTAGAAATGAAAGCAATGTGAGATTGACTCCACAGGAAATCTAGAATAATTTAAAACATTAAATGCTTAAAATTATGCAGTATTATAGTACTGACATACAAATGTGCAATGTCAAGTTTCAAACTGAATGCATTAAAAATTATTATTTTTACCATTTACAGTTGGAAACTATTAATAATCACCAGCTTGTATGACAAATTCTTAAAAATTGTTTACTTTAATCTTTTGATTTAGTTATTAATACAACAAATTAATCGTTTGAACTGTACTACATATTCTTAATATTGTTTTATAAATTTATAGTATTTAGCTATTGCAACAAAAGTATTTTGAATGTATACAATATGTTTCAAAGTATTGTATTTGAAAATAAAAAATACTGTCAATTCTCCCCCCCTTTCCGACTACAATGTTTGCCATAGGTGGGTCAGTTGTCCTTCAATGGTGGATCATATGAAGAAAAAGTACAAAAAAAATTATTACGTAGTATCATTTATTGTTATCACACACTAATATTTTATTAAATCCAAAGATACAATTAACATACACTGGTGTGCAAAAATTAAGAACGAAGTCGAAAAAATTAGCATATCAGCTGAATGAAGAGGCAGAGCGGACAGAAAGACCAATCAGGACATTAAATAAGGTGATGTACGGTAGCACATGCGCAGATATGCAGGTAGACGTAATGGGGGAGTGTCTGAGTAGTATAAAGCATGTTGTCGGTGTAAGATCAGTATTTCTGGCAAAGAGATTGCACGTCGTATGGCAGTTAAAATCACACCGAGTGCTGCCTCAGTGAGAAATGGCGAATAATCAATCTGTTAGACGACATCTGGATGCTTTTACCCGAGGTCGAATCATTGGGAAGTTGGAGGAAGGCCGCAGTCTGACAAGTGTGGCTGCAGAGTTCGGAATTGCTCACAGCATCGTTTCACGACTTTGGAGACAATTTCAAACTACAGGAAAAGCTATTCGGGGGTTTAGTAGTGGTTGTCCACGAGGAACCACACCCGTAGATGACCGGTATATTGCCTTACAGGCCAGAAGAAACAGGTGGCAGACAGCGGGAGAAATCACTAGACACACGACACAGGCGACTGGACGACCGATATCGCGTTTTACCATGGCCAGAAGACTGCACGGTGGTGGTCTGTTTGCACGACGCCCTGTACGGTGTGTACCTCTAACGCCTGCTGCCCATCGGCGAAGGTGTTCTCTGTGGTGCCAGGAACACCGGAATTGGAGAGACAATGAATGAGGACGAGTACTCTTTACAGATAAGAGCAGATTCAGTGTGAGTAGCGGTTCTCATCGCATACTCATCTGGAGAGAGCGGGAAAGTCGCAATCATCCCAGAAAAATCATTGAAAGGGACAGGTATGGAGGTGGCGATGTTCTCGTTTGGGGAGGCATGATGCTTGGTAGTCGTACAGACCTTCACATCTTCGATGCAGGTTCAATCAACGGGACCCGTTATTGTAACGAGATTCTTCTTCCATATGTACGTCTTTTTAGAGGCGCTATGGGTCCGCAGTTCCTTTTCATGGACGACAATGCACCATGTCATCGCACAGTAGCTGCCGAACAGCTCTTAGGATATTGAACGTATGGATTGGCCGGCATGATCTCCGGATCTCAATCCCATCGAGCATGTATGGGATTTTCTAGGCAGACGCTGGGCAGCTCGTACCTTACCACCAGTAATGATTCCGGAGCTTCGATTGGCGCTGCAAGACAAATGGGCAGCAATGCCTCAACAACTCATTGACACCCTCATTCTCACATGGGCAGACGCTGTGAAACCTGCCTAGCAGTCAGGGAAGATCATATCCCCTATTAAAGACCGGATGTTTCTTGCTGGACACCCATCACAGGGATGTTTCGGCCTTCAGTCGCATTGCGCTCTATGCTATTTTTTCAATAAAGCTTCTTTTTATCCCTCTGATTTCTCTTTTAGTAAGTGTTGCTTACATTACTCATGTCCTTACGTATTGGGGATCTTACGGTATTAAAGGTGTTGATTTGGAAAGCTTTTGTATAAAGTCATATTGAAAAAACCGTCTCGACCTTAATTTTTGCACACCAGTGTATATACAGGGTTGCCACTCGAACAGGAGAATGAAGTTCTCTGACTTTTCCTGGTGTGTTTTAAGAAAATTGCAGTCTATCCACATAGTGTGTGTAGGCTATGCTGAGAGGTAAATTATGGTACCACTTGAAAACAGAAAAATTTACCAATTACATATGACCTCTCTATACACACTGCTCGACATTGAAAATGCAACATAAAGAAGGAGTGGTCAGAAAGTGATGAAATATGGAAAAAAGACAAAGACAGCAAGCAGCAATAAGTGATCTTTATTTCAAATTGATAGTCAGAATACAAAGCGAGAACGGCATCGAATCAGTAGGATGTAGGACCACCGTTGACAGCGATGCACGAAGAAACACGTCTAAGCATAGAGTTAATAACAGTGCGGATGATAATGTCCTGAGGGATGGCTCTCCATTCCCTTTCAACCATTTGCCACAGCTCATCTTCTGAACGAGACAGGGGCCAGAGCCTGCAAACGGCGTCCAATCGCATCCCACACATGTTCGATTGGTGACAGGTCAGGAGAGTACGGTGGCTAGGGAAGCATCTGTATACCTTGCAGAGCATGTTGGCAGATGTGAGCACTGTATGGTCGGGCATTATCCTGCTGAAAAATTGCATTAGGCAGCCCCTGAAGGTAGGGGATTGCCATCAGCCTCAGTACATTATCCAAGAATCGTTGGGCTGTCATAGTGCCCTGAATACGAACTAGAGGTGACCTGGAATCGTAGGCAATGGCACCCCAAACCATTATGCCATGTTGTTGCGTAGTGGGGCATTCCACAGTTACTGCCGGATTAGATCTGTCTCCACGTCGAAGCCACACACGTACACGGCGACTGTCACTGGATAAACAGAAGCGTGACTCATCTGAGAACACGATGTTTCGCCATTCTGTCATCCACATCGCTCCAGTCCGGCACCATTCTAAACATTGGCATCCATGCTGTGGGGTCAATGGCAGTCTTCTTAACGGATGCTGTGAGTGCAGGCCACGTTCAACCAATCGACGGGAAATGGTTCTGGTCGACACGGGAACATCCAGGGTATCTTGCACATGCTGCAGAATTGTGGTACAAATGACTTGTGGGACCACCACAGCTTGTTGGCGGATGTGTCGATCTACACGTGCTGACGTCACTCTGGCTGCACCTGCACCCCTCCTTCCCACATTTCCTTGTTCCAACCATGTTCACCATAGCCGATGCACCGTGCTCGCATTCACGTGGGTATCAGCTGTGATTTGATGTAAGAACCTACCTGCCCTTCTCAGTCCGATCACCATATCCCTCGTAAAATCGTCTATCTGCTGGAAATGGGAAATGCCTTCGTTGACGGTGGCGGCCTGGCATTTCTCCTATTACACGTATCCTCCGGGACAAAAACCAACTTTCTTTGATAATTTGTCTGGCAGAAATAACGACGCGAATATTGCTCATTTTGCACATTCCTTCCCTTATAAGATTATTCGCATAATCAGTGACGTGCGCCTACTCTAAAATTTGCATAAATTTCTGACCACTCCTTCTTGGTGTTGCATTTTCAATGTCGAGCAGTGTATATAATCCCTAAAGCATTACTATTATAACTGTGATAGTTGTTTTCTCCACTCAAGATTGAGATTAGAATCTGCCCAATCTGGATTAAAAAATGTCATTTCTTTTCAGACATTTTGCAGGTAAATGAAAGAAATCTATATAATGATATTTTTAAATAAATGCAAGTATTTTATATTTACTCTGCAGCATATATAAGCAAAAAATATGCACGTAACATTCCGTAAAGGTCATACTGCTATAATTAGTTTCAGAAGAATGCCAAAGAAAATTGCCAAAATTTCTTAAGTATTAACTAATATTAAATAAATTTAGAAGGAAGAAGACACATTAAATAACATTAAAAAAGTTAATTACTTGAAGACTAAAGACTGAATTACAATAATCAATGATATTTTGGTGAATATAGTTATATTAAATAGTTAGCTTAGATGACTGATTACTATTTTTTTTTTTTTTTTATTTATTTTTTTATTTTACTGCAAAATCACAAATAAGGTATTTATTTAAAAGAAAAAAGAAGTTTAAAAGATTTTGTACTAAAATCCTAGTATATGATACGGCTTTGGTACGATTTTGAAAATTGTCACCAACACCAAAATGACACGTTTACTGCTCATCATCATGTCACCAAATCCCATGTGTATTGTATCCTAGGATCAAACTGATTTCGTTTTACATGAGAATGGAAAGGTATTTTCTTTCATTCATCATGCACTGCACATGAGCTTGAGAGTCTCTCGATTCTCGAGGTTACTGGAAACCAAAGTTGCTAGAAACTTGCTTTGCCTTTCTAAAACAAAATTTGATTGGAGCTGCAAAAATTGGCTCTACGCCAGCTGCACGATTGACGCACATGTGATACATAATTCGTCAAGAAAGTGACCGTTTCCAACATTGGTGGAAAAATCGCTTTTTTGGGGATTGCCGTATGAAGTTCCTCAATTTTTTCAGATTTTGACCAAAATATAAAAATTCCCTGACTTTTTTAGGTGAATTCTGGAATTCCTCGACTTTTTTCGGTTTCAGGCAGCACGGCAACCCTGTATATATAACTGAAATTTAATCACCTGATAATTCCTGCCAATCAGTATTCATACAACAACATATATTCTACATACACACATATAGCTAAAAATAATTTCAAAGTATAGGGCAATATAATACTACCTGACAGATTTTTTCAGTGGCAATGACTCTGTTAAGTTTGAACTATCAAAAAGGCTAAAAAATAAATAAATAAAGTCATTTATGATTTTATTCACCAAGGAAGTACAATATTTATTGCAGCATGGAAGAAAATAATGTTCAATACTTAATTAAACTGCTAAAATAATGTAAATAATAATAATAAAAAAAGGCAGGACTACGTACATGATCATTCAGCAGATCCAAATTAGATTAAGATTTCTCATTGCCCAACTTATTTTTCTCCCCCTGTCAAACTTACATTCAGGCCAATAAAATATACCTCTTTCCATATTTGCACAATGTCACTCTGGTGGGGTTGTTTCTGGGGCCATTTTTATGTCATAAAGAACTACCACTTTGCACTACAGATCAAGGCTCTTCTTGCAGTGGGAGCTGCAGAGATTTATCTCCAAATCAAACAGGCAAAATCATCAGTGCTATAGCAATATGTTCCTCAGCACAACAGCTTATTAACGATATATATATATAATACATTCTATAAATATCTTGAGATTCTTCACGGTATAAACAAAAAGATCATAATGAAGAAAAACTTTCAGACATAGCCATAGATTTAATATATTTTTAATTTGTTATACAACAAGCCTTGAGAAGCATAATCAGGCTCACTCATTGTCATTATGGGTGCAATATCCACAATTTGGTGTAGCTTTTCCGAATTTTAGATAATGAACAAAGCAGAGCAGTTAACGCTTGTTAGCAGCAGCAAGGCAAAGTAGGAAAAGGACAGAATGTTGTTCAATATCCAATTGAGCTGCTAAAATAATGTAAATAAAAAAGGCTGGACGATGTGCATGATCATTCAGCAGATCTAAATTAGATTAAGATTTCTTACTGATCATTTATGTTTTTGTATTCTTTCCCCCCTCCCCCCAACTTACATCCAAGCCAGTAACATATATCCCTTTCAATAATTGCATAATATAATTTTGGCGGGATATTTTCTGGAGCTTTTTTAATGTCATACAGGGCTATTACTTTGCAGTACAGAAATGTCTGCATCAATGCTCTTCTTGCAGTGGGAGCTGTACAGATATTCCCTAACCCAGTGCTTCAAAAACCTTCAATATTTTCGACCCAATTTTCAATCATAATTTTCATTGTGCTCCCCCCATACAACAATAATGTATTGAATGCAATAACAATATACTTTGATGCTAAAACTACAACAGGATCTTAATTATAAACCGTGCAAATTATCAAGATAAGTATTAAATTTTGAATATATTACTTTTAAATAATAGATGTTTTAAGTACCATATTTGCTGGCATATAAGACGCACCCTCTTTTTTATACACATTTTTGAAGGATAAAACTTTATTACTGATCATTACAATGAATTAACAGTATTTTAAATATAAAGTAATATTTTCTGCAAATACCCAATCTACCTGAGAAAGAACATCTTTTAATCTTCTTCAAAACCCAGACACTCATCTCCAGAGCTAAATGAAGAGTCACTTGAAACCTCTTCTAAATCAGCATTTGAGTCCTCTCACAACAAATTGTCCTCTGCATAAACCAGTGCATTGCTAATGCCATACTTCTTAAAATGATTTAACCACTGTTTTGGTTTAGACAGCATTCCATGAAGATTTGACCCATTCACAAACTTGCAAAATGCTAGGCCTCTTCCTTTTTCTGTAGTCTTCAAAATTTGAAGACTGTATCCAGCTGTTCCACCTCTCCTTCATAAATCCCTTAAATGGTTTATTAATGCAGACATCTAAAGGTTGAAGCTAACTAGTTATGCCTCCTGGAATTACAGCTAACTGAGTTTTCAATTCTGAGTTTATTTTTAACATCTTCTGTTCCGTGAGGACGAAACTGATCCCATACTAGTAGGGCAGGTTTTTTTTAACAGTCCGCCAGGGCACCTCAACCAAATTTTATCTATCCATAACTTCATTCTTCCTCCATCCATCCAGCCTTTTGCATGAACATGTATAAACACTCCTTTAACACGTCGACAGTGGCACGGATATTCATTGTTCTTCTCATGCGGCAGCGCTTGAATTAGCTGTCTGTTTCGTGGGATGGCGCAGCACCAAATTATAAAATAAAAAAATTATAAGATTATATATTTTATAATATACAAGCATGACCCACCGGTGAGTCATGCCAGCCCGCAGAACAATCAAGCATGACCCACCTGTTGGTCATGCCGCCCCAACGGAACAGACAAGTATGACCCACTGGTGGGTCCGGCCAGCGTCAACGTGTTAAGCAATGTATAAAGAATCCTTTAGGCGAGGAAATTTTCAGAAATGAATGTAATAAAAAGCTGAATATCGACATATAAAACGATGCACTCCATTTTTCAGACCTATTTTCAAAGAAAAAAAGTGCGTCTTATAAGCCGACAAATTACTTTAAGTAAGACGGTAAGTATTATGTTACTTTTCCTTTCTAATTTTTAAATTGGAACAGATTGTAAAATAATTTTTAATCAAATTAAATATTTATTTACTCAATAATCTAGTTCTAAAAGTACAAATGTCATTAGAAAGATTGTCTGCTCTCTATCTTATATCCATCACATACGGCATTCCCACCGACATCTTCGCAACTGTCTGCACAACTTATAGAATGCCTGAGCAAAATGTATACAAATGCTGCATTTCATTCATTTCCAGTTAGTCTTGGTCGAGTCAATCCTTCTTTCGTCACCAAATCTGTCTTGAATGTGCATTTTGGAATTTGCACGTTAATTGCAATTCATGGCATTAAAAATTTACGACAGTAGATTTAAACAACTGTGGATAAATTTTTAAGTCGTAAGTGATCATTAGGAGATAATAAAGCATCAACAAGTGCATGGGAAAGATTGGTTCCGAAAATTAACCCCTTAACTGCTGCGGGCGTATATATACGCTCTTCTAAATTACTATCATTTGCTTTGCGCTGGTGCCCGTAAAATTATTCGCAAAGCTTTGGAATGCAACACCACATGACCTTGACAAAGTATGCGAAGGAGGATACTATTTTAGAGAAGTGTGTGGAGAAATTGGAGAGAGGGATGTGTCTAAAGCAATGAAAGTAATGACTGCGCGGTATTGGCTGGTGTTTGAGTAAAACATATTTTTTTAAAATTCTCTGACCTCCATTTTCGTTTACTTTTTGTAGTAGGTTCCAGGAATAAAGAAAGATATAACGAATGTTTTAAACCCATTTATCTTTTTTGAATTATTTTTTGATGAACTGCTCGTGTTTCATATTGTTACTGAAACTAACGGTCTTGTAGACGAGTATATGAACCAACACCTTGGAAACGAAAAATCAAGAACAAAATCGTGGCATTCAACCAGTTCAGAAGAAATATATGTTTTTTAGGCATACTGATTTCACAAGGTATAACACTGATACCTGATATTACACTTTCCTGGTCTAAAAATGAATTCATAGAAACTCCATTTTAGGGATCCTTTTTTATTATAGAAACATTATTTTTATTATACTTTTACTCAAAACATTAAATTTCTTTTCTTTTTTTATTTTGTGAAAGTAAAACTCGCACTTATTTCCCCCCTAATAAATCACATAATTATGCGCCCCTGTGTGAAAAACCCTGGCACTGGGAAATGAATCTTGTACATTTTCCACAGCAGTTAAGGGATTAAATCAAGAAAATACTCTCAAGATTACTTAAATTTTAGGTTTACCACTACTGAAGCAAATAAACAAGAAAGGTCCCTGTGTGTTATTTGCTAAAAAATATTGGAAGTAGACAGTATGAAACCTAATAAACTTAAATGACATTTGGAAATGCTTCATGGTAAGTAGGTTAATAAACTCTGAGAATTCTTTAAATTAAAATCATATGAATTTTTTTTTTTTTTTTTTTTTTTTTTTAAACTCTGTGAATGAAAAAGCTTTACTTGCTTCTTACAGTCTCATATAAAATAGCCAGATGTAAAAAGCCTCACACCATTGGAGAACTTATTTTTCCAGCTGCGATTGAGATGGTAGAAACTATGGTTGGAGATAATTTTGCTAAACAGCTGCAGTCCATATTTCTATCAAATCGATGATATAGCTGAAAATGTACAGCAGCAGCTTTCTCAGAAAGTTGCATACAAACTGTTTTTAATTCAGCTTGACGAGGCAACAGATAGCAATAAAGATTCTCATTTCGTTGTACGTGTTCGAATTTGCGATGGTATGCCAGCAGTAGTACTAGATGGTACTGTCTCAGTACTAGACATGGGTGCAATATATTCATCTTTGCTATTTTATTGAGAAAAAGATGGTTATTACACGGGAAATTTTTGCAACGTGTTTATAAATTAAGTGATGAAATTGCCTTTTTTCTAGAAGAGGAAAACTCGACCGGAAGCTGAGAAGTTTCGAGATGGTTTATTTGTGATGAAATTGAGCTACTTCGTCAATATATTCCAGAAATTAAATACATTGAACCTTCAGCTCCAAGGAGCAAATATACATATGTTGGATACGAATAATACAATTAATGCTTTTTGCAGCAAACTGGAACTATAGAACAGAAATTTAAAGTAAAAAAAAAACTTAGAAATGTTTAAAAATGTGGATAAATTTACAAGGCTGAAAAACAACATGCGAAAGTTGTTTCTGAAAGCATTGAAAATCATTTAGCCATGCTGGCAAAGAATTAAAAAAAGTATTTTCTTGCTAATGACAACTTGATAGCAAGCTACGAGTGGGCCAAGGATCTATTTCAAAATACTCCAGAAGGGCTCTCAACTGACAAAGAAGAAATCTTCATAGCACGTCAAGTGGCGAAATCAAAAGGCAATTTAGTAATAAACCACTCTTTGAATTTTGGGTAAAGCTGTATGACAAATTTTCTGCACTGAGAACAAAAGCATTTCATATACTGTTATCATATACTGTTATCATTGACTGTTATCATATCATCATATACTGTTATCATATCATCATGAGACAGAAGATACAGACCAGAATAATTTAATACGAGGGCTGGGGCAAAAGTCATGGCCACTATTTTTTTCTTGCAGATATGTGAACGGATCATAGAACGTATATGTTTCGTGCGGAATTTCTGCAGGCATAGTGTGTATGCAGAACAGCAGATGGCTCTGTGGTAGCGAGGGCTCTTAAATCAGTCAGTTGGTGAGTGCCGTGCGAGATGGAAGTAACCCGTGTTGAGCAGCGCGCTTACATCAAAATAGCCGTTTTCTGAGGAAGAAATGCGATAGAATGTCACAGTAAATTAGTAGAAGCCCTACGGAATAATGCCCTACCATATCGTACAGTAGTATGGTAAGAAAGTTTCAGCAAGGACGTGTGTCAACCAGTGATGAGCAACGTTCGGGATGACCGGTGAGTGTGCAGACTGACTCAGCACATGCCGTCATCGAGCACCTCATGAATGAAGACAGACAATGGACTTACTGGAACTAGAGAGGGCAAGTGGCATTGAGAAATGCACCATTCACAGGATATTATGTAATGAGCTAGCGTCAGAATCCTTCCCCAGTCAAATTGATGGTGATCGTCGCGTATGACGTCAGGGGTGTCATTGTTTGTCACTTTGTTCCTCATGGCAGAACAGTGACCGCACAGTACTACAGGGACTTCCTGGTGCGACAGGTACGACGTGGCGTTAAAGATAAACGTCCGGATCTTGCGAGCAGTGCAATAATTTTGCACGACAATGCAAGACCACATAAAGCAGAGTGTACGGCAGCTACTTCGACGTTGGGGATGGGAAGAACTGGAGCACCCACCGTACTCTCCTGACCTTTCACCCTGTGACTTTGATCTCATTCCCAAGATTAAGGAACCAATATGTGTAGGCAGTCTGCAACACGAGAGGACATTGCTAATGCGCCAACAGATGACCCGATTCACACATGGTGCGGCAAATGCTGAGGCTGATGGTATTCAGTGCCTCAGCAGTATATCAAAAACCAAATTAATAGCTTAAATTACTTACTATTAGTCTTCTTTAAAAAAAAAAAAAATTAGGAACCCTTTTTTAATACTTATAAAAACTATTTTTTATTTGTGCAATATAAAATGCAGCAGAGAACAGTGCTTTTCCTAAAAACCCAACTAAAAAAAAATTAGAGGTCAAAATTCTTACTTGAATTTTTGAGTAGGTAGTTATGAAAAAGAAAGGAAAGTAAGACCAGAAACATGCACAGATACACACATTAACTTTTAAAATCAACCTTCTAAAATTTACCATAGTGAATCATCAAGAGATGTTGTAAGAATGGAATTCCCTGTTACAGGTGAGAAATAAGCTGAATTTGCACTCTTCTTGTGGTGAGTTATACTAGACACTGGTTTTTTCTGCAACTTTCGCAAGTCCCATAGGCTAACAGTCCTAAAAAAATTGACAAGATGATAATTAGATACATAAACTTTGCATATATACTACATACATATATTAGCAGTTCATGATATAAAAAAAAATCAGGCAGCTACAAAAACATGTAAAATGTAAAATCCACACACAAAATAAAGATAACCTGTATTTTATTATCTTTTAACAAATATGCTGAAAACATCAATCAGTCATGAAAATATACAAGTTCCAGAAATTATAATATGAAGAAATATTTATTGAACTTCGCACTTACAAGATAACATTAAATATATCGAGTTAAAATAATGCTCAATAAAAAGGGGGGGATAATAATAATCACCACCACCATTCTGTTTCAATATATTTATGGTATTAAAACATTTTTGACAATGTTTAAAATGCTCAAATATTATTAATGAACCATATTTAAATGATTTTAAACCTACCCTCTGTTCATGGCAATAATAAAATAATTTTTATTCACAGGATGAATGCTTACAGTTTTTATTGGATGTTCATGACATTCATGACTTTTTGCAGATGATTTACTAAAAGGGAAGAAAAGAAATGAAGACAAGCATTAGCAAAAGAAGCAAATTAAAACATTACATATATTTATATAAGATAATTAATTCCACATAGCACCAGTATCAAGCATACCCATTTCGGAAATCAACCACAGCAATGCATCCACTTTTCTTCCCCACAATCAATGATGTAGGCGACAAAAAATCAAAGTATGAGCAAGATGAATATTCATCAACATACACCTGGGAGGGGAAAAACAAACACATTACTGCTGAAGAAGTTCATCTATTCATTAATAAAACATGTGTTGACATTTTACGCTAAATGCATTAGAGTCAAAGATGCTGTACCTCAGAGAATTTCATTTCGAAGATTTTATATTGTAGCCTAATTACACTAATAACAATAAAAATAAGAAAATGAAATATACATTTTTCAAAATTTAATTCTACGCTTAAATTTTAAACATATTAAACTATTGGGCTTACTTTAAGCAGCCTGTGTCATTTAGATTTTTAATATGTAAAAATTAGGGCATATATTAAATTCAAAGCCACTGTTTTAACATTTTATCTTTGTTAATGTACCAGCAGCCAGATATTTATTTACTAGATAGTTCTTTATATTAGTACCTGTTTAAGTAAATAAAAAAGTTTTTTTAATTTTTATTTTTTTTTACACCTATTATTAAGGCATATTTATTTTCTATTATTTTCCCAGTTTCCAAACTCAGATTCTGGTACTTACCTATTATCTTGTCAACCAGCATGATTTAGTGCCAATCACAGATGTGACATCACAATACACTCATAATATCTATGCTTTCATTTGATGTAACCCTGATCAATTCTCAATAACTGACCTTTTGTTTTTATGAACAAGAATGTAAATTAATGGCTACAGCTATATTTTTTCATTGTTTTTTGAAAAAAAAAAGGGGGGAGGGAGGGCCTTCAAGAGCTGTAAGAATCTGATTTGTGACTGCACTCTGATTTATTTATAACTGGTTCAGAGAATTAACATTTGCCAAATATGAGGAGGAAAAAAAAGCCCACAGACATGCAGATGGCCAACAAAACAGCAATAGCTTGCAATAATCACCTGCGGAAAGTTTGTAGTTATGAAGTTCTAAATAAAATTAAAAAATAAATTAATAAAAAAAAAGACAAAAGCTTTTTTATGAAGCACAAAAGAAAGTGGGTCAAATACTACTGAAGTAGTGACTATTTCATGGATTTCTTCCAGCTTTCATGGTCAATGAATGGAGTAATACATACATACCAAAATTCTACTGGCTTAGACTCAAAGGTAGCTATTTTTTAAAATTATTTTTTGCAATTTTCTAATTTTAAAACCCTACTGTAATTCAAATTCAAAGTAATATAGTATTAACTTATTTGTACCAAATATGATACATTACTAATATATATGTATATTATGTATTAATGAATAAAATATAGTGCTACTACATTTAATCACATTTATTTACACATGAGAAATATTAATTTACGTTTAACTGCTCTTGCCCAATATAAATAGATTATAAATAATGAAACATGGTCAATACATTGATATCAAGACCAATAATGTTATAATTATTTTTAGCTGTCAGTGTCAAGTGCTGTATGTTATTCTGACACTTGACTCACTCAGGTCAATGGTCACATTTGCTGAGCAGTACCTCAGCAATTCCCCAGCTGCAACTGCCAAAGCAAGCAAAAGAAAGGAACAAATTCCTAGTAGTTCTGATTCGAGCTGGCTAGAAAGTACTAAAAAGCAGTCATTTCTTTACCGTAAAAGAAAACAGAACTTATCAAAAGAAAACATACTTCATGAATTTTTTAAAGCAGTCATTTCTTTACCGTAAAAGAAAACAGAACTTATCAAAAGAAAACATAATTCATGAATTTTTTATTCAATCTTGAAATGGTATTCATAAAATTGGAAAACGGAGATTTTGCATTAAAAATCAGTTCATAACCAGAGACAACAATGATTGCAGCACATTGCCCATTTTCCAATTACACATTTCTTTACTTATTTTCCCCTAGCTTTTCTTCAGACTCAGGCTCTGAAAATTTAAAAAATACTCACAAAATTTTCCCCTTCCTCAATGCATGTAGAGAAAAAGTTTTCATAAATTTTAAAATGAATTTTCCCAAGAAGTGATTATTTTTGTCGTTTCAGCAAAGACAAACCCTTGCAAATTTCCTGCAAAAATCATGCTGGATGTTTCCCTTTTAACTATTGAATATGCCAGCCAAGTATTAACCGATTACACCTAAGCAAACATAAACTGATATTCAGTCTACGATGTCACTCAGTTAACAGCACATTAAACTTCTCTAATTATTTATGGATAATTTGAGGGTTATGGGATAGTAGAGACAACATTCAGAAAGAGTGAGGTTCAAGTTACAAGGAAGTAGAAATGAAGATATCTTATTAGATATTGTAATATTAATATTACTATGCATTCTTATTGGAATGTGGGTTTCTTTAAAAGATATAATACTGCTATAATTACCAACAGTTTATCAAATACTGCTGCCAACTTTTTATATTCTTACTGCAACGGCATCCTTGGGAAATTAAATCATTCGCATAATTTTCCCTCTTGATTTTTGGATGATAAAATTCATAAAAAGAGCGCAAAAGTACACAAAGAAATACAGAGATGGCACAATATAATAAATGCACAAGTTTTCGCCAAAGAAAAAAATACATGTTTTAAATTTACCTCACTAAAAATACGGTTTTCAAGATCTCCACAACGCACTGATCCATCATAACTACATGAAAGGATCATATTAGGATTTACTGGATTGTACTGCAGATGTGGAATGTTCTGATAATGTACTTCAAATAAGTATGGATCAGATTCAGAGTCCTATAAACACAGACACAATACTATATTATATACATATGTATTTAAAGCTCTAGCTATGTTAAAGCTTCTTTTCTAAAATTTTTACCTCCATAAATACATGCATAAAATTTTTGAATATTACATTCAAAACACTATTTTTACTAAACTGTAATGTAAACAAAACTTAAAATTCACAGATATTTAAGAGTAAAATTGAAACTGAGTTTATCTACAAATACAAACTAAAGTCAATACTTATACCAAATCAAAATGTTTTATTACATAAAAAGGAATACATAATTAAAAACACTCATGAAATAATTATTTTAACCAACACACTAATAATTCATTAATTACATACATAATATCAATTTTACCCATTAATTATGAATACTATATATTAACTGATAGTTATATTTCTTAATAATATCTCAATATTTTAGTTAATGAACTTAAGCAGTTCTTAGAATGAGCCATTTCACAATTCTTTGGATCACCTAGTTGCAGCTTAGCAGAATTGTTGATCAAGACAGTGTCAATTACAATAATGCACCAATGTACTAAATGTGGTAACCTGTTTATTTCAATTTTAATGATATCTTTTTATAAATGAGAAGGATGGACATTAATCTAGTAATTTTTCCTCCTAAAGTTTAAAATAAACTTTTTTTAGGGAGGCATTACATATTAACACTATCATTTTGATGCAGTTTGAAGATTTTTTAGAGAAAAAATGGAATGATGACTAAAAATTGTAAAATGTTATTTAATACGCAATACATATTTTACACATTAGTAAGACATTTATCCCTGAAGTTAATCAATAAACCTACTTACAAGCGGATTTTTCTTTCTTTTCTTTGCATGGAAATCTCTAGTGATTACTCTAAGAATGGGACTGTTAACCACAATTACCGTAATTTCGCGCGTATAGTCCGCGGACTATCTGTGTTTAAAATGTGAATTTTTGAAGCTGCGGACTATCCACCAGTGCGGATAATACGCTGGTTGTTCACGGTTAAAATCGTTGAAATTTAAAAAACACGCTGTCGTGAACTGCCGATGATCAAATATAAAAAAAGCGCGAGATTCCAAGAAAACATTCGTATGTATCGTATCGATAGTAAACCATAGAGCATAGTGCAGAACGAATGAGTAGTAGCAAGTAGAGCTCCTAAAATCCAGGCTGGCGCATCAAGCGATGCGGGATATGAGCCAAAGAAAGTCTTGTATGAGCACTCACTTAGTGCAACCAGAGTCTTGTATCCCAGTATCCTTCGCACTGCTTTAGCGCAACTGACTGCCAGGAGGGGGAAAAGTAATTGAGTAATTGATGCGTCAAGGAGGCTCGGTTTTTAGAAGCCTTAGTAGCAAGTACCTGGAGAAATGAAAAAAAAAAAAAACGTGATTCGTTTACTTACTAGCGTGGTTTGGCAACACCGAGTGAGTGGGGTCGAAGGTCAAATTTCATTACCACTTATACGTTGCACAGTATTTTGTCTTTCATCTTCGATAACATTGATGAAACATCGCCGGGAAAAAGATGGAAATAGAGAAGCGGGCCGTTATTGGTTTAATCCTAGTATTCGGTGCACACGGGATTTGGCTACTTTTGGCGACTTTATGATGAGCAGTAAAAACGGGACATATACGATGAGTAGTTAACGGGTCATTTAAAAAAAATATATAGTTTAACATAGTATATACTACATATATAGTATATATACTATGTATATACACACACAGTATATAGTGCATAGTATATATATAGACGTTCTTTGGATCATTTTTGGTGTTGGCGATAATTTTCAAAGTCGCGCCAAGGCTGCACCGTATACTAGGATTTTACCGTGGCCTTCGAGAAACAAGGCCGTCCAGCTCTCTCGTGACGTCACCGTATGGAGTGCGAAGAAACCTTTCTTCTCCACTGAAAGCGAGCGATTCCACAGCGCGCTTATTTATTAGTAAAAGCTAATTTTATGTTATTCCGATGTAAAGTAAACAAGAAATTATTAAATAAGTGATACTATCTTAGCATTTAATTAAATATCATGCTTTAAGACTTCAGGTATCTGAGCCATTCCCGTTAAATTACCCCCTTTATAATCAAAATAAGATTTTACACGAATTTCATCTATTAGTAAAACTACCTTTTTATCACTTTCATTTAAAAATCTGAATTTCTGTTTTGTGTACAATAAGAAATTATAATCCATTTGTTCTTGTTTAGGATCAACATTGTGCTTGAAATTAATATTACGAATGGTATTTGGATGTGGAAGTAAAATGTATCCACTTTGTCTCAAAAATTTGTACAACTGAGGTGATATATAGAAACATATAGAGGCAAAAATTAGTATATCTGGATTATACCTTTTCGAAGTTTGGAGAAGAATTGAGATTTGTTCAATTATAAATTTAATAACATTTTCTTTTTTCATTATCAATGCAGTTAATATCAGAGAGTATATTTAATGCAGCAAGGAGTTTTAATCTTATGACTTCATCTTCATTACTGCTAGCATGTTTTAATTTCATTTAAGACTTCATTTAGCATATTTATGTTAGTAATTTTCATGGGAAATTTTAATTTACCAATACTTTTCAAAGAAGCATTATTAGAAAAGCTTGTACCAACATTTCATGATTAATGTTTATGGAATATTGTATTTGAGGTACAGGTTCAATCTGCAATATTAAAAATCAAGACATAATTCTTCAATTTTCAAAAATGTTCCAAAAATCCGAAAAGCCGTAGCATGCTATTTTTCTTATTGCATAAATCGTTCAAACTTAGCAGTTCTCTGTCTTCATCATACTTTTCCTTTCCCTCTGTGATGCTTCTTTGAATAGCGGCAGCAAGATTTTTATTTTCTAGCTCTATCTTTTTGTTCACAGGATCTTTACGGATTGTTTTCGAAGTAGTCAAATGTGATGGGCAATTAATCATAATCGTAATGATCGCACTGCACTTTTACTAATCTCCGCAACCTTCAAGCACACTGATATATCTTTCCCAGTTTTTTCATCGAAAGCCCTTGCCTCACGTATGATGTCAGCTGGCTGAAAATGGAGCTCACATATCTACATATCCCAAAAATGAAACAATTGAGACACACATTTAAGAAGAATTCAAAATTTTAAACACGTCATTATACAGTGAATTCTAATATCATTTCATTCAAACAGCTCTTTAAGGGGACACAGTACTAAACAATATCGTCAAACTATCGAATTTTTTTTTTTATAGGCTTAAACTGCAACTTTTTAAAATACATATGGAAAATCTCAAAATTGCACCTTCAATAGTTAATTTTTGAAAAATTGTTTAAATGAATAAGATTTCCTTTTTTTTTTTTTTTTCTAATCATGACAACAAAATGTTTCATTAAATATCTTGCAACAGAAGCATACAGTGATTCCAAGCACAATTTTGTTTACATTTTCAAGGAATACCACACACACCACACACACACACACACACACAAAAAAAAAAAAAAAAAAAAAAAAAAGCCTATTTAAAGCAAAAATATTAATATAAAAAGCGTAATAACAAATTTTATAAAAATGAAATTTTAAAAAAAAATAGTTCTATGTTTTATAAACAACTGGTTTAACGATATTTTTTTTCAAGTTTTTTTTATAATTTTTTTTAGATATAATGTTAATTACAATTTTCAGAATAAACTTGAACATGTGACAAAAAAAGAGTTGAAAGGGTAATGTGTTCCCTTAAAATATTATAAGCACACGAATTTGAATTTTTAAATGAAAAACATTATTACTTTCATATCTCTAAAACTTACAATGACAAGTAGTTTTAAAATAAAAGTCGAGATAAATTAGATATTACAAATGCTATTTTAAGTTCCAGATTTTGTATATTTTCCCGATTATTGCTTTATATTAAGCACTGAATATTTAATCTGCAGTATATGAAGTAAAATTTATTATACATTAAATAATACTATAGTATTATGAACTTAATTACCCATTAAAATATTCACATGCAATTTATGAAGCAACATGCATTTATTAAAAAAAATTATAAAATTCACTAAGACAAATTGCAGGAAACAAAAGCTTATTATACTGCTTATTTACATTGGCAATGATTTATTGTATACTTTTATATTTTACACTAGTTATTGTTTACTATTATATTTAACACTAGTTTTTCATTGGGAATGATGATTTTGGGTTAAAAAAAACAGACATATTAAACATATTAAATATTTAATTTATATAATTTTTCTTTGAATATCAATGAAATCATAAGAATAAAAGCTCACCCTGCTATTTTTAGTTGGAATGAAGTCCTTTCGCTTTATTGCACGGATCCACTTTTCATTCAGATCGGCATCATTAGGAAAAGCGAAAATGTGCACTTTAGGTCCAGATTTGTAATTGCTGTTACATCGCGGCACTGAGCACATGTAAGGCATTATATTGTTTCTGGAACCACTCACAAATTGCCAAAAACCTCAAATTTAATATATCCAGCTGCAGGAAAATCCGGAATGCAGTTAATATCTCAAGATTTTAGGTCAAGAATTTCAGTTCAACCTCTTCTTTCGAAGCAATGGCGACTGACAACCTTTGACCCAGCGTTGCCCTCACCCCACGAAGGGGTGCACTCTTCACCCCAAGAAGGGATGCACTCTCTGGAATGACATCACACGCTCAACGTCACTGAGCTGTTGGGCCTTGTTTCTCGAAGGCCACGATTTTACCCCGTTATTTTGAAGTGGACGAGAAAGCGGTGAGAAATTGGCGCAAACAAAGGATGTGTTAAAAAGCATGGGAATATTGCCGTATTAAAAAAACGTAATTTCGGACGTATAGTCCGCGGACTATCTGACGATTTTTGAAATTTTTTTTATATAAAATCTTGCGTGCGGACTATACGTGCGAAATTACGGTACTTCCATTGTGGTTAAATTCTAAGTGAAAGCAATAAAGAACAGTACTGTAGAGAAATCTCATAAGTGGATATATTAGAATTGAGTTTAAGTCAAAAA